TCCTGGGTCCTGCCTCACCTGAGTCGCTGTCTTTATAAACCCTCACTAAACTGAAAGTCCCCCCATGCATACTTACTGCTAAAAAACTCAAGACTCCATAAGCATCCCTTTTAAAGACCTCTCCTGAAGGAAAATATCATGGATGTGTTTGTTCTGCTCCCCCTTCCACACAGATATTATTTTAGGAAGAGATCCAACATTTCTGCTTTAAAGCAGTGCTTTTCTAGCTTCACCTGGCTCTTCAGCTCTGCCTGTGACACGACTCAAGGTAGCTCTAAGCTCAGTGATGATTTCTCAGGGACCCTCACAGTCCTTCAAATTTGAGCCTTTGATTTTTCTAAGACCTGTGCTTCTTGATGTCTTTGGGTTTTTTTTGCACACTGTAAACTTAATCAGCAGGACTACTGCTGCACTCAAAGGCTTTGTTAAAAAGAGAATGAAAATGTACTTACACTGCTGGGGTATATGAGTGGCAGAGGAAGCAGCAGAAGTGGAATGAGAACAACGAGCAAGAGATTTCTGGATTGGAGAATCTCCTTCATCACTGCCATATTCCTTATGGTGGCTTTCTTCTTCTCCTCTGGTTCCTCAGGTATTCCAATTTTCACACCACGTTTTCCTTCACCTGTGCCTGGATTTCCCCCAGAGATCCCTCACAACCTCATCTCTTATCCCCACAGTCACCGAAAATACCTTTCTTAGTTTATTTATTCTTCAATCTGTTGTTTTGAAAAGGTTTTTCGATTAAAAAGACATTCAATCTATGTAGGGCTCACCAGCACATCCGAATTATTATCACACCATAGCACACAGAGGTTTGCAAGCTGGAGCATAGTGATCTTTTGACAAATCTTCTTTATAATTCAGACTCACAGTTGTAGATGTGTTGTATCCTTATTCCCATGTTTTATGAAGATTTTTTCTTCCATCATCTAGTGGTGTTATTTCCGTTTCCATAAACCAGGGGAGATACGTTTTGAGCTGCTGCTTTTCCTCCTGTTTGATATTCTGAAAGTCTCGAATACAGTTTCCTTTCTGCTGGAAAATTATGAAACCAAACAATTTATTTTTCAATGCATAGAAGTAAATTTTCAGGTACTTCTTCTTTAAAGAAAGGACCAAATCCCTCCTCCATTTGCAGCTCCTTTGGATTTTATTTCTTTGCTTTTATTTTGTATCTACCTTTACCCTACTTTTGCCCTGAGCTTGGAATTCACAGGGCAGTAATTCCAACATGGATTATACTTGATCTCAAGATAAAAATTTGTTAAAAAGCTACAGGCAACTCTAATTCACCAATGAGGACTGCAGAAGGTAGAAGTTGCTCCACCCATTGTCCCAAACCCAGTCAGAACATTTGAGAAAATCAACAGCCTTCTGACATTCATGTATAAAAAGACCTTTTTTAGGTGGCTGAACAGTTTGTTATTGTTTCAAGGTCCCAGTACTGCTGATAAATAAATAATCATTGTTTTCTGAACAGTATCTTTTGTCTTCATGTTTCTCCCATCACGACCCTTGAATGTTACTAATTCATAAGGCATGGGCTGATCTCTGTGCTGACTTGTGTGCCCTGAATAACCATAGGGTTCAAAATCAAATTGAGAATTTTTAGACTTTCTACTCTTGTCTTCTAGGGGAAAAAAACATTTCTCCAACTTTTCTGTTATTAATGCTTTTTGTGGGGTGGAAAGCACTGGAGATTTAGGACTGAACCCACTGGCTGGTTACATGCATGATCTGTACACGTAAGAAAAGGTACATTTGCCCTGTATCTCATGGGAAGAACACATCTAGGATTTTCCATGACCCCAAAACTTGCTTGCCTGTCCTCTGCCCACTCTCTTCTAGCAGTGACAAACTGGGCTCCCCAGACTGGACTGCCATGCCTCTGTGACTCTTGGCCCTGGAAAGCTGGAAAATGCAGAGGAGTTTGATGTGCAGGGTGAATTCTTCCTGAAATTAATAATTGTATCTCAGACTTCTATGCCTCAAAACTTCCATCAAGCAACAGAACCTTGAGACCTTTCAGGTAAATTTAACAACTAGCTCTGGAAGAAAAGCTATAGTTAATGTGAAGATTTTGGGTTGGCCTGTACAGCTCAGGATCTCTTTTCTCAATTTTTTCAGAGAAACTAAGTAAATAATAATAAAAAAGGTCTTAAATGTTAAAAAAAATAATTTTTTTTTTAAATGGAAAAATACAATCTTATTTCATATTTTTATGATCCATAAGGTCAAAGGGTGGATAAAATGTACCATTTAGAGGTAATGGTTTTCTAACCTGTGAGATAAGAACTACCCCTAAAGAAGATTCAGTCCAAAATGATAAGACAAAAACTGAGAGAGGGAGAAGGCAATCTGCACCTGCATCTTAAACAAGACTGAGTGAGGGAAATGCCCTGAGCCCAAAGAACTTCCTTGAAGGCAGTGCTCCTTTCCACCTGAACTCTGGAAAAAGGAGGCACCTTCATTTCTATTTATTATCTCCTTCAGAGGGAAGGGCTGCTCCCTCTTCTCTCTTGTACCATTGCTCCCACAAAGAGTTTCACAGTCTGAGATAAGCAGTTACTCAAGCTGAAGTTGCAAAATAGTAAATCTGCTGCTGAAATCAATACAATGCAAAGGCAAGGATTTTTTTGTAGAATGTTTTTATTATTACATTGAGAGTCTCTGTTAAATTAACCTGGGTAGACCAAGCACTTTCCCAAGGAATAAATCTTTTTCTTACATTACACACAGTAAAAGGATGAGCGAAACAATCTCATAAAACCTTTATTCTCTGTTGAGGAGATAAATGTTTCAGTTGCCAATTTGTAAGTAGGGTAAGGTACGTATACCAGCGGGAATTATAAGATATTAAAAATTGTAATTCTTTTTTATGGAACATTTTATGATTAGTAAACTCTGCTGGACAGTCCTGTTTTGGGGTGAGGAACATGGCTGGGAGGTATTTCTCTGATTGGTGACTGCTAGCAATTAATATTTGCTCTATTTTGCTCTCCTGCTATTTTTGCAGACTTGGAGTAGCTGGCTATGAGGCATTTATGAATTCCCCTGGTTCCAAGCTCTTCCAGCAAGTAGTGTTCCAGGGAGCCAGGAAGCAGAGCTGGAAAGGCAGTGTTGCATTCTGTGGCATTTCTCCTTCATGTGTTTATAAAGCATGGTGGGGGAAGAAATCACAAGCAGATCATCGGAGTTAAAGCTGAGGGCTCAAAGGGCATGTGGGCAGGAGCACAAGGCTGCTTTGGGGGTGCTGAGCTCTTTGTGTGCAAGCAGAGGAGACAGAGATATTCGTGGCCCACAGCTTTGTGGCTGAGGTTTGCAGTTTCCTTCACCACCTGCCAGACAGGCTCTGAAAATGGGCAGCAGAATTCCTCAGGTGTAAAAGTGCTCCTGCACACGGGTGTGTCTGAAGGAAAGCGCACAGTCGCCCACACAAATCCAGAAACTCCTGGGGGAAACAAGACTCACTCTGTCTTTTATAAGCCCTTTGTCCAGCTGCTAATGCCATGGCCAGGCTGCCCCTAAGGCTGCTGTGCTTCCACGTTCCCACAGGTGTTTGCCAAACCCAGCGCGCCCTGACTGCGTGCACTCTGCTCCTTGCTGTGCTTATGGGTGGGTTTTTTCAGCTCCAGTCCTTGAGGTACCCCTTTCAAGGGATACAGAGGAATTGATTCCTTTGGTTCAAGTGATGCAAAAATAGTTAAACCTGGTTCAGAACTTGGGCTGGAATTCTTAGGTCTGCTTTAGTCTTGGGGATTTGTGATTTGGGCCTGAGCCCTTAAGATATTATGCAATAGAAAGATAGAGAATGATGGTACAAAAGGATGAATAAAGGTGCAGCTATTTTCCCATGGTCTGGAAAACAATATCAATAGAAAAACAGAGTTTATATCACTTCTGCACAAAAAATGGGGGGTTTGATTTAGAAGAATTTAGATTTTTGATAGCTAGTCATCTGTCTGACAAAATATGTCTCCTTTTTGTGCCATTTTTCTGTTCATGATTTTTTGGGGAGTTTATTATAATTGGTTGCAGTATTTGTACAGTTTTTCCTTTGCTGCCCAAATTCATAATTCGCACCACTGAATTGATAAATAGCCTCTTCTGCTAAGTGCTCAGATGCAATTGTTCACTGACTGAAAAATTTGGGATTCTTCTACATACTCAGCACTTATGTGCACACACATGCGTGAACATAGACACAGAGACACACACATACACACATATACTCAAATGAATATACAATTTACTGTAAAAAAAAGAGCCACAGTGCCAAATTGAGCACCAGGTATGTTTTAATGCACCTTCCTCCCTTGCCTCAGAGGGATTCTGAAACATGGGTTTTGATGATCTACATTCAAGTGATAGAACCAGGAAAAAATGTGTCATTATTAAATTAAATCAGGCCTTTGTCTTGCCTTGGATTCCACTGAGGACAAATACATGTTCCTTTCAAAAAAACAAGCAGCAGAAGCAAAGTCATGTGCAAATAATGAAAGAATCGTTGCAGACTGTTTGGGAGGACAGCTCCAGGAAGCTGGGAATATGTTCACAGGCATTGTTTGCTGCTGGTCTTCACAATGCCCTTTGTCTTCTACAAATGTTATTGCAATTAAACACTGGCTCAGCCAAATTAAGCGAATCAGAGAGGGCTTATTTATGAGAACATTTGGAATGAATAAAATGTGGCATCATTTCTGAAGGCTGACTGTTATGAAACATCTTCCTTTTCCAGCGGGCCTTCACCTCTGGGTAATATTCTCTTACTGGCCAGCCAAAACATGACCTTGTTTCCCCAGCTAGGAGAGCAGCAGTCTCCAGCACTTGCACATCAGCACGTGAGCATAAGCACAGTACATTTATGTATTGCTTATAGGAAACCCGAAGGATGAAATCAAGGGTTGGCCTGAAACAAGGGTCTGCCTGGGTGTAACTCCCTTATTTTCCTGTCACAGAACGTGCCTCCAAGCAGCACAAAAATCGAATTCCTCCATTGTGTCCTTCCTCAACCAGAGCAGGTGGCTGAGGCGCTGCTCCTCTGCCACTATGAGGGCTGCTTGCTGTAGGAGAGCATCAAGTCGTTCTTCAGGGCTTTGTAGAGGTGGACAAAGGATTCAGCCCAAGTGTCCCTCTGGTGCCCCTGGGACTGAGCAGCTCTGTAGGCCGCGTAGACCATGGTCAGCACTGTCCTTTCAAAGTCCTCTTTCTTGAGGACCCTCGGGTAGGAAGACAGCCTGCTGCTCAGCCTGCGGATCTCTGGGATGCTCTTGGGGATAATCTCGTTGCAGATGGTGTTGAACTCAGCAGCCTTCCTCAGGGAAGCCAGCTCCTCATCTTTGATGGAGATCCTCTGACCTTTGTCAATGTCAAGCTCAGCTAAAAGAAACTGGTACAAAATCAGAACACAGAAAGCTATTTATTCTCTCCAGGAGACTCTAGACAGAGTACATGTGAATTAACAACATGTCCTTGGGTCTTTACTTTTTGTCAAATGGAGACAGTTGCACTGTCTGGAGGTGGGGAAGACCAGAATTTTTCTATGTGTTCCCACCCTTCTGGTGAACTATCACACAGCCACAGGTTTACTGAATAATGGGGTGAATAAAAGTGACATGAAGCCAGATAATGGGCAACCCCAGTATGGCCAGTACCCCCAATCTTGGCACCGTATACTGAACCTCATAAAGCAGGACCACATCTTCCACAGAGTTTTGTAGCACTGGGTTGAGGAAGGCAGCTGAGGACCTCTTGAATCGCTGAGCAGATGGGAAAAGCATAGCTGGAAAATAGTAATGGGAAGACAGAAGTTCTATAAGGTGCCAAACACTGACAAGAAGCAGCACTTTTCAATAGCAGAGTCATGTAAAGA